CCGAGGGCGCGTCTACACGTTCATTTTCAACTGCCATGTCTTCGGGACGCTGTTCACTGCATTGCACATGACTCATCATGACTTGTATGGCATTCTCTGTGGAGGTTCAAGGATGAAATGGAGTTAGGGGGTCAAAATTCAGAGATCTGCTTGCGAGGGTTTCTTTTGGGCCTAAAATTGCTCTAGCTGTAGTATTGTCGACTATAGTGACTGTTGGGTCTTGGTTTGGGCTTGCCATGGATGAGTTTGAGTATTCTTACAGACGACACCAATTGTGTGGAGGTGGAAATGAAACACTCCTTCGATCCAAACAAGCCTTTGATCTTCTAGCTGTCACCTGAAATAGATATATGACTCCGGACGGTGGTGTCAGAATTAGCATTCCGACAAACTAGTTAGTCCTTAGAGTTTGAGTTTTTTAACACATTGTTGTTTCTAAAGCCTCTCTCCTCCATTTATAGTCATCCTTTTCAATCCCTATTCCAGACAGCTTAGCATTCCATCATTACTCTGTCAGGGCCCACCCCTTACCATACTTCCGTGAAAGGGACATTGTAGTCCCAAGTAATGGGTTAATGTCAATTCTCCCAAAACATTCGACTTTGTTTGTTTAGCAAGAATACGTGCTATTCAGCGCTCCTTCATATTCAGCAATGGCGTAGTCCAGTTGGCCTTGATCTTATTCGGCCCATATTTAGATAGACTTGAAAGTTCTGTTTGCCATTTAGATTTATAATCTTTTTGGCCCAGCACTAGCATTTGGATAAAACTTAATAATGTCATAATCTCCTATAGGTGCTTCATGACATTGATTGATTGTTTGGTTTTATCAATCATATTGCATTAAAAATAACAACAATTACACCGTAGTGGTGGAAAATTAATTATTCATAATATTTACTACTTTTTTTGTAATTAATATATATATATATATATTTTTTTTTTTATCCCTACTGGAGCAGACTGCTGCGCACACTACTTCGCAGCTGGATCACATCATTTCCTTACTGACGCTTCAGCCGCCCCCTCCTCCGTCTGGTGCTTGATTTGTTGCTTTCTTCATTCCCGGTCAAAAAGGGGGAGAGTTTGGTTCCTGCTGGATTCCTACTGGATATTGATGACACATGGATATTGATGGTATATTTTGTTGATGGTACATGGATATTGATGGTATATTTTGTTTTGTTTTGTCTTTTGGTTATGACACATGGATTGAATGGATACATTTTGCTATATTCTTATATAGTTCCACAAGTTTTGGTTTTTTTGGTATGTTGCTAGTCTTTTCACAGGTGAATGGTGGATGATGAATTGGATTGATGGATCGATATATGGCAAGATTGGAAAGCTTGTTTGTTTATAGAAGTATTGGTTTTTTGAATTTTGTCTAGTGCTTGTGGTTAAGGATTTTTGTTTAGAAAAGTTTTGTCTGGGAATTGACAAAGGGGGAGATTGTTAGGTCCCTGTGTTGTCAAATCCGGAGACAAAATCTTGTGTTGATTCAAAACTTTGTTTTTCTGTTTTTGTACTGTCCGCTCGAGCGGAGACTCTTGAGCTCGAGCGTAGATTAGCAGGTCACAGTAGTTTGACAGGGCAAGCACAGATACTGGTGGGTGCGATTTTACGCTCGAGCGGAAACTCCTACGCTCGAGCGCATCTCAGCTTATTCATATGCAGTTTTTGGTCAGTCTGCTCGAGCGGGCTGTTGTGAGCTCGAGCGGAGATCGCGGATCCAGTTCTCTATTTAAAGTTGCTAAGGGTGTTTTTGTAAAGCACGTTTTCCTAGATATGATCAAAACAAACTAGGGTTGTGTTTAAAAGTCTTCTTGCCTTTTTGCACAACACTCCCTCCACTATGCCACTACAACTTCACATGAATATATATGCAATATATATTATTTATATAGTATATTAACCGGATTAATACAAAATAATAATATATACAAATATAATTATTTTAATTCAATATAATTATTTAAAAAATAAATTATTTACTAAAAAAAAATTTAGGCCACTTTTGGCGACTAAATTAAATTTTTAGTCGCCAATTCTATCATTTTCGGCTACTAATTATAATTTAGTCGCAAAAAAATTATGTTTCGCCTAAAAATAAATAGTTTTGGCGACTAAACCTGTTTTTAGTCGCCAAAAAGTCCCCTTTTGGCTACTAAATTGAATTTTAGTCGGCAATGGACTGTTTTTAGGTACTAATTTTTTTTTTTGTAGCCAAAAAGCTTCACTTTCAGCGACTAAACTATTTTTAGTCGGCAAAACACCAACAATCGGCGACTAATCTGTTTTTTAGTCGCCAAAACCATCACTTTTGGCTACTAAATTATTTTAGTCGCCAAAAACTGTCACTCTTGGCTACTAAACAACCTTTAGTCGCTAAAACCCCCACATTGGGCGACTAAACTGCTTTTTAGTCGCTAAAAGTCTTGTATTCGGCGACTAAACTCTTTTAGTCGGCAAAAGTCACCAATTTTGGCGACTAAATCCATTTTAGTCGCCATTTATACTACTTTCAGCGACGAAAAAATTTATTTGTCGCGAAAGTGATTTTTCTTGTAGTGGTTGTTTTTCCTTAAAAATAATCAAATAAAAATCACTCTCGTAAGTGTTTGATGATTTTAGGTTGAGAGTTTTGATTTTATTGGGTTTTGGAATTAGTTAATCTTGATCTAATCACAAATCAAGTAGGATTTTCAAAATAGAACGCTCAGGTACTAAAGCGTATCACTTTATGGGCATATTTGATCGATAGGATTATAGTATGAGATTGAAATTATTAATTTATGGGTCTAATAATTTTGTGTTTATTTGAAAATTTTATTTTAGGATTATTAATCTAATGGATAATTGTTCCAATAAATTTGTAAAATTATTAGTAATGGGGTAGGGATGAGATTATATATTTTGAACTGGAAAATAAAATAAAAAGACTATTTTACTTACTAATCCAATGCAAATCAAACAATGAATAAGAGGTTAATTTATTCTACTAATCCAATTGGATAGTGAATATCATATTAATTTGATGAGATTATTAATACTTTCACTATTAGTCTTGTGAATCAAACATGACCTATAGGTATATATATGGGAAAGCGTATGGCCACTTACTCAATCCATAAATTTATTTCTAAATCATTTTTTTGGATTAAAATGACATAATGTGTTAAATTTAACTTATCTGTCTATTTTTTGAAATTCAATAAACTAACTATCTATTGAAATGTGACACATGTCACTCATTTAACAACTTATCTATTGAATACCATATATTTCTCTACATCACCACTTGCTACCGCCAGCGATTTTTTCAATCAATTTTTTCAATCAATTTTTTGGCGATCCTTTCAGGCGTGTTCTTATCATAATAAAATAATATTTTATCTTAGATCTAATGTCTTATATATTCTTTGGAATGAATTTGTCACCAATTTTTTCATTGCATATTACTTTTAGTCTAATAAATTTACTTTATTTAAAAAAAAATGTAATTCTTAGAATTTAATTAATTTATAAATATTTGTAAATATATGGATGTAACGTCTCATTGAAGACATATCCCAAAGCTATCAGTCAACATAAAAGCATGTGACAAGCCCAACTTCTCTTCGTTCGCTCGCTAACACTGTTCATGTAGACTGAGATTCATTTTTTCGTTTTTCATAAGTTGTTTGGTTGATTGTACGTTTTTTTATTGGGGAAATTGTAAATTAGTGCTATTTTAAAAAAATATTTATACATTGATGAAAAAATTTATAATTTTAATTATTAAAATTGATTAATTTTTTTACTAATTTATAATTTTTTTTTCTTTTTCTTTTTGACAACTTGCATTGAAGTGCAATTTTACCTTTTTCTATTTATCCAAATCACAGTTTTTGTTTTCATGTTGTGAGAGTTTTTGGATGATTAATTGGGACCCTATCTAGCTTCCTATATAAGCGAAAACAACCAAGGATAATGGATAAGAAAACCAAAAGAATTTACAAAAATAAAATAAAATAAAGAAAAAAATATAGTAATGATATACAAATAAAAATTTTATATTCCAAACAAAAACCCAATCCTTAATTATAACTTCTAATTTCAAATATGACTATCACATTATTTAGATTTAGTCTTTTAGTAAAAAATAATATTCTATAAAATACTTTAAAAAAAAAAAAATAGGTTGTGAGTTGGTGAAGCGGGGACAAAAATATTGAGAGCAACTCTATTGGGGTTTTAAATATCATTGTTGTGTATCTTATCGGTTGTTATATAATGAAATTTTGGATTTCTAACATCGTTATTTATTGATACATTGGCCAATATCCAGTTAGTAATTAGTTAATAGATTAGCATAATGAAATTTTGGACTTCTAACATCGTTATTCATTGATATATTGATTGAGTTGGATTTTCGAATTGTGTACTTAAGTCTTGCCCTCTATTTCATTTTTAAAAATGGAACCCAAGATCTTCTCTTAACAGAGACATAGTGACCAAAATGCTAACCACATAGGTTATAACACGCTGGTTTGGTAAATACATAACAATATCATCAATATCGGTACATATTCTATTATTGTTGTTTAGGTTAAAAATTAGATTTATTTTCTAAATTCAATAATGTGACACTCTATTAAAATATCTAAATTAATCAATTATTTTATTGACACATTACTAAATTTGAATATATATATATATATATTGTAAGATATATAAAATTTCGTAAATGAAATTAAGTTGACAACCATTCATTAACCTAAATATATAATTTTTTATGCAGAATTATTACCATCATATCCACTATTTACTGGAGAAGACTGAGCAGTGGGAGAGAGAGGTAGAGAGAGACGAAAGAGACTCATACTTAACAGCGCAAGCATCGCCACCTTCTCTCTCTAATACACTATTCTCACGCAGGAGGCGAACCACCGGTCCAAGTCAACTTTCTCTTCTCTTCCCTGCTATAGCTCACCATCCTAAATATATATATCCCCTCTCCTTCTTATCTAACTCCCCTTCCCCTTGAGCTCTTCTCTCTATCCCCATTCCCTCTCTCTCTCTCTCTCTTCTCTCTCTCTCTCTCTCTCACATTTGCATGCAACACAATGAGGAAGCCATGCTGTGACAAGCAAGACACCAACAAAGGAGCATGGTCGAAACAAGAAGACGAGAAGCTCATAGACTACATTCACAGACACGGCGAAGGCTGTTGGCGAACACTACCTCAGGCTGCTGGTTTGTAACTCACTCAACCAGTCATACCATTTGAAATTTGAATAATGAACAACCTTGCTAAGAAGCAACACAATATTAATCACTCTGTTCGGTTTTAATTTTCAAAATTCACTTTTCAGAAAATTTTATTTTGTTATTTTTCATATTTTTTTTTGTTTTTATTGAATTTTTTTAATATTTCAAGTATTTTTTTTTTAATTTTCAAATACACTTAACATAAATATACTTAAAAAATATAATATTTATAAAAAAATATTTTAAAAATTTACCAAATAACAAAAATACAATTTTTTTTTGTTTGAAAATTCAATTCATTTTTCACAAATATTCTACCTTTTAGATACATTTAAGTAAGGTGTATCTAAAAAAGTAAAAAATTGCTTAAAATTTTAAAAAATATTTACTAAAAAAAAAAAACAAAAAACTCAATTTACAAAAAATTAAATTCAGAAAACTAAAACCAAACACCTTAAATGGGTGTTTTTTTTTTTTTGGTTTAATTTTATAATTTGTTTTGTTTTGTATTGATTAGGCCTACTTCGTTGCGGTAAAAGTTGTAGACTAAGATGGATTAATTATCTGAGGCCTGACCTGAAGAGAGGAAATTTTGCTGAAGATGAAGAAGATCTCATCATCAAGCTTCATGCTCTCCTAGGCAACCGGTGAGGTTTCTTCAATTCAACACTAACCCAATACCCTCTCCTCCAACCCTACATCATTCTGAGAAAAAAAAAGAAAAAAGGGTCATGCTAATTACAACCTATTGAACTCTCATTATTTATTTTTATTTTATGTGTTTATTTGTTTACTTATTGAACTCTCATTAAGAGGCACAAAATAACAAACAATTAAAATTTCAATATAATTTTTTTCATATTCTAAAATATATATATTTTTGTTATATATGTCAATATTTTTTTTACACATTTACTAATGTTATTGACAGTCTAAATGACCATTATAACATTAGCATATTTCCTTACATCATGATGGTCATTATTTTTATTTTAATGATCATTATTCATGAAAAATGATAATAAATAAATATCCTTAGCATTTTTCATATAAAATTATGTAAGGATATTTAATTATTTATTTTTTCTTGGGTCCTGTCCAAAAATTACATAAAGAAAAGGAAGGTAAAAGTGTTTGGTAAATACAATGGTACCATAACTAGTATAACAAGATTTAGTTACATATAACAAGACTAATTTTTGTCTAAAAATAGATTTCCAAACAAAAATAACTTCCAACAAATAATCGTAGTGTCATTTTATGATGCATATACCTAGATACTGACTCTTAAATGGGCACAAATATTTTTAGGTGGTCATTGATAGCTGGGAGATTGCCAGGACGAACTGACAATGAAGTGAAGAATTATTGGAACTCTCATTTGAGAAGAAAGCTTATGAACATGGGTATTGATCCAAATAATCACCGGTTGAATCAGAGTCTCACTCGCTCTCAGAATCTTGGCACCTCTGGCAGTGCAACCTCATCTGCTTCTAAAGACCGTGCATCTCAGCCAATGAAAACCAAAGGGGATCACAATGATCAAGTCTCTGATGCTGGAAGTTGTCTAGAGGACGCCACATGTGTCTTGCCTGATTTAAACCTTGATCTTAAAATAACCATTCCTTCCCCTTCAATTGCCATTATTGAAGAGGAGGGAAAACTAAATGATGAGTCCACCATATCAAGGGGCCTTGAATGTGCCCTAATAAGAACCAGTCCCACCCTTCTTCTCTTTAGGTGATAATTTAAAGGGCACTGGTTGGTGAATATATGAAGAATTACTGAAATTTGGATTTAGGGTCTCATTTTTTGATGTCAAAGTCCTAATAAACATTTTGAATTAGTTCCCAAGCCATGGAAAGTTGATCAAGTGCAAAAAGAATTCAATTTCTAATGTTCCAACCGTGCAGGATGATGAGATTCTTCCAAAGCACACATTCATTGAAGGGTTAAATCGTTCTTCGAATTGATGCAATTTAATGCTCAATACAAAATTCCAATTCACAAGGAAGGCATAGTTGCTGTGAACATGAGCACCAAGTTACCGAGCTGATTTGCCAATTGTTTCCTTGTAAATTTTATTCACCAATGTCTACAAAGGCTCATTTGGGCTACCATACATGTACCAATATTAGTTAGTTAGTTTTATTGTGAACTTGGATTTTCATTTCATCATGTGACCATAATTTTATTGATTATCAAGTTTGTTATGATTTCTGTACTTCATATATGAATTTGTAACTTAATTGCATTCTTATCAAAACCAATTATATAAATTAATACCTTCAGGAATTAAACTATATATTATAGAAATTATGGAAAATTTATATCTATCGTTTAATCTCAAAGGATGTGCAAATATATGGACAACAACCTAGATGGGTGTAATCTCATTGTGCTCCTTGTACTACCTTATCCATATAATTTTTTTGCCGATAAAAAAAGAAATTACATACACAATAGATACGACCTTTGGTGGGGTTTGGGGGAATCTTAGCCTTCCTTGAAAATCTTAGCCTTCCTTGAAACAAATGAGGAAAATAAAAAATAAAAATAAAAAGCGAAAACCCTAAATTCATTTTGGATTACAAATACTCTGACAAATGAGCAAAATAAAAAATAAAAAATAAAAAATAAAAAGTGAAAACCCTAGATTCATTTTGGATTGCAAATTTTGACTCTTGATCTAAAAGTGCATGATGCAACCTAACTGATAGAGTAATGGTTATCTGTAGAGAACTGGTTGGGCAAGCATATTTTTAAAGTGTTTTTATTTATTTTTAATGTTGTTATTTTTATGTTAAGTTGTTGAAAATTTTTAACAATAACCAAACATTCAAAGTAAACTCCAGCTTACACATATTGAATTATGATGGTAGCTCCTAAGATTCATCTTTCCTGGTATTGGTTGCATGCGAATCAATATCGTTCCAACTAACGAAAGATCACGAGGTGCATTTGACCACTCCTTACAATTTCATACAAAAGGAAAAAATTGTACATACTAACGAAAGATCACGAGGTGCATTTTGACCATGTCTTACAATTTCATACAAAAGGAAAAAATTGTACATTTTTATGAGATGGTTGATGACTTTGTCGTCGATGTGTAGTCTACCATTCAATATGATTATGTACTATACGAATAAGTACATTTTGAATTAATTTTGGAAATTTTTTCTCTTCTAACATAATCATTTTGTGAGTTCCTTCTCCTTATGTATTAACTTTTGTGCAAATTTTGGAAAATTTTAGTCATTTTGCCTCTCTTCTAAACCTTGCTACTGCAGACTCATCAACCTCCGCAACTGCCACACCCACACACAAGAAAAAGTTTGACTTGGAGGAGTATCTAGGATTACCATTGAAGTATCTAGGATTACCACTGGGAGCCAGCCCTAGCAGGAGTTTGACTTGGAGGCCAGTTGTAGAGAATTTCAAGAAAAAGTTATCTGGGTGGAAGAGAAGAGTGTTATCTTTTGCTGGTAGAGTCACACTCATTAAGTCTGTGTTGTCTGCTTTACCTGTGTATTACATGTCTCCCTTTAAAATACCTGAGTGTGTCGCAAAAGAGATGGATAGGATTCAAGCATCATTTTTATGGGGTGATTCTGAGCGTAGTAGGAAGTTGCATCTAGTTAGGTGGAATGAAGTGTGCATGAGTTTGAAACAAGGAGGGCTGGGGATCAAAAACATCAGGTTAGCCAATGATAGTTTGCTTTTAAAATGGTGGTGGCGATATGGGCAAGAGGACGAGGCACTGTGGAAGATGGTTATTTGCGAAAAGTATGGTTCAGTTGGGGGTAGATGGTTCCCCGATGAGGATGTTCACGGTCCCATATCCCAGACTTGGAAAGACATCTTATCAGTGGCCCAAAGGAATGGCAGTATTCTCCAATTTTACAAGGACAATGTGGAAATCTTAATAGGTAATGGACAAAGAATCAGTTTCTGGAGAGATAATTGGTTGGGTTTAACAAATCTTTTCTGCCAATTTCCTAGATTGTTCCAGTTGGTTAATGATAAAGAGATTTCCTTGAATGGTCAAGTAGCAAGAAGAGATAGTCAATCTGGATGGTTTTTCAATTTCAAAAGACCACTTCGGGCTTGGGAAGAAGATGAGTTGGTCAGATTAACCACTGCTCTGGGGTCAGGACCTCTTTTAAGAAGTGATGTGGCTGACAGGTTGGGGTGGAAGGCTGCTCAGTCAGGTATGTTTAAGGCTAATGCTGTTTATGCTTGGGGCATGCTCAATGATGGTCCCACTCACAGTTCAGTTGATCTTATCTGGAATAATTTCTCCCCACCGAAGGCAAAAATTTTTTCTTGGCTAGCTTGGAAAGGAAGGCTGAAGACTAAAGATTTGCTTCATAGGTTTGGAATTTTAGAGGGGGAAGATGTCCTCAATTGTATATTCTGTCGTGAGGTTAGAGAATCTATTGACCATGTTATGCTTCATTGTTCTTTTACTTGGAAAATTTGGTCTGATATTATTGATTGGTGGGGTATTCAGTGGGTCATTCCCAGATCCATAGATGGCCTTTTACTCTGGTGGATGGGTTGGAAGTTTAGGAAGAAAGTTAATCTGGTATGGAAGGCTCTTCCAGCAGCAGTGTTGTGGTCTGTGTGGAGTTATAGAAATGAGTGTGTGTTTAAGGCAGTCCAGCCCAATTATCAGGTTCTGTGTGAATGTATCAAGGTAAGGTTAGCAATTTGGATGAGATCCCAGTTCAGGGATGCTTCATTCTCAGTCAACGATATCGTGTTTAATTTTTCACAAGTCAGGTGCTGTCTAGGATCTCAGTGGTGAATTCTGCTATGTTACAGGGTGTTATCTACTAGTTAGGCTGCTGTTATGGTGTTATATTGGTCTGGTGGTGGATATATAGGTAGCTGCGGGTCAAGTTCTGCTGGTTGCAAGTGTTGCTAGTTGAAGGGGGTGCCCTGAGGAGTGGTGGTTGAGTGTGTTTGTGTTCTGGGTATGTATCTCAGAAAAATAGTTGTCTGCTCTGGTGTTGAGCCTGCTGGAGATTTTTTTACTACTGCTGTGCTGTTGAGCTTGCTGGGTTGGGTATGCACCAAGATGGTGGCTGTTGCTACTTCTACAGCTTGGGTGCAGCATGGATGGACTGCATATTGGTGCAGCATAGCAGTCTGGCTGTGTATTTTGATCTGTTATGCTTGTTGGTGCAGCATAGCAGCTTTGGTTTTTAGTCTGATCTGTCACCATGGGTGGACTGCTGGCTAAAACAGACTTTGATCTGTTTGGGTGGTGTTTTTTTGTTCTGTTTACTCTGCTGGTTTGTGAGGTCCGGGTTGTGTGGTTTGGTTTGGTTTGTGGTCTGTCTCTTTCGTTGGTTCCTCACCAACCTTGGGGTGCTAGCAAATGATAGGATGGGTTCTTTGGTGCCAACCTAGTTGGGATCATTTACCTCATTGTGATGCTCCTGCACTCCTCTTTTCTTTATTGGTGTAATTTCTTTCATACCTTGTACTAGCTTTTACATCAATGAAGTTTCTTTTTTTGCTGATCAAAATATATATATATATATATATATATATTTTTTAATATAAAATTTTAATTTTATAAAATTAATATCAATTAAAATGAGACTAATATTAATGATATTTAATAAAGGGGGTTTGGGAATCATAGATTTAAGTTTGGCAAATCAGTGTTTGCTATTAAAATGGTGGTGGAGGTATGCTTTGGAGGAGGGTGCATTGTGGAAAGAAGTTGTTTGCAGCATGTATGGATCTGTTGGTGGGCAGTGGCTGCCATTGGTTACAGATTCATGCCATATGTCTAAAATCTGGAAGGGCATAGTGGGAGTACCAGTTAGCAATTCTGATCTGTATAATTTCTTTAGGGAGGAAAAACCCCCCAAAAAAAAAAAAAAAAATAAACAAACAAAGAACAGAGAAATTGGTGAGGCTCCAACACAAGCGCATGGGACAACAAAGAAATAAATGGTAAATTACAAATACATTCCCCGAAATTTGCTTAAAATAAAGATTGCCCCTTATAATTTAAAAATTTACAAATACCCTATTGTTAAAATTTTTTATTTAACAGAATTAATGAAAAAAAGAAATTCATAATTGTTCTCTTATATAATAATAAAATTATATACATTATTAATTGAAACATATTTATAACATCATTAAAAACTATTAATTGACTTTGATGATTTATTAATAGAAAGGGTGATTTGTTATGAAATTACAAACCTCAAGGGGTGAAATGTAATTTCCAAAACTATAGGGAGCGATTTGTATTTTAATCAAATCTTAGGGGGTATTTGTAATTTATGGAGAAATATAAACAAACAACACCATAATCAACAAATGGCGCCCCCGCAACCCAAACTTGTTATATATATATACATCTATTTTGTATCAGCAAAATAAAATATATTGATGAAAATTAAGAAAATACAAGACAGCCAAAATTACATCAATAAGCAAGCATAAGGGCACTAAAATTTTTTTTTTTTTTTTTTGATCGGCAAAGTAAGAATCTTTATTGATGTAAGAGCAAAGTACAAAGTACATAAACAACAAACATAAAAAAAGAAAGGGAAGTACCAAAGAATCACGATAATCTAAATCATCCCAACTATGTTGGCACCAAGAAGCCCATCCTATCATTTGCTAGCACCCCCAAAGTTGGTGAGCAACTAACCAAGAGACAGGAGAACAAACAAGGAAATAGCAGAGCAACCCGACAACAACAAAGCAAAATTGACACAAAGACCACTAGTAATACAACCACACCCAACAAACTAGATCTGGAGGTGGAAAGCAGGCAACGGAACAGAACAAACAAACAGTAGCAGCCAGAGAGACAGCGTCATACAGCATAGACCAGAAGATATACACCATACAACAGCATACACCAGCTGCAATCCAGCATCATACAACTCAAGCAGCATCATACACTAGCAGCAATCTAACAGCAATTCCACCTCTCACAGCAGCACAGCTCTGCACCATCAGCTGCCAAACAATGTACCTCCAATCTACAACAATAGCTAAATTGACTCTCAACTACACCTAGTAGCATAACTTCACCAATTTAGACAATCAACCACACACCCTGAACCAAAGCAGTAGAAACTGAAGCAAAATGGCAGCAGAGTAAACCAAACAGAATCTGAAGCAGAGCAGTAGCAATTCTATTACAAAGCCCTACCAAACAAACTACAAACAGCTTCTAACTTGATGG